ATTATATAATAAATAATATATATATATATATATATATATATATATATATATATATATATATATATATATTGAAGTTGGACCAATTACACCTTTAGGCCATTAAATCAAAAAAATTAATTGAAATTATTTTTTTAATAAATTTTACTTTAAGTATATTAATAAATCTTCTTATTATTTATGTTAAAAATAATCTTTATAACAACTAAAAAAAATTGAGCTTAAAATCAATATATTTTATTATAAAAGGTATTTATATATTCTTAAAGATATAACACAATTAGGTGCATTACAAGCACAACATGACTTTTTTAGTAATAGAAAAATTTAAATATAATAAAATATTAAAACTTATTTAAAGAGATTTTTGATGGCTTCAAATGTGAATAGAAGTAAAAATATTTGTTCAATTATGTGAAACTTGTTCGAAAGCATAAAATCTATGTCATCTCCTAATAATTTTATTCAATGAATTTCATCATAGTTCTTCTACTTTTAAATTCTTATAACTCTATTTTTATAATTTTAGATTTTTTTAGCAAAATTTAATATTTTTTACCATGCTCAAGAACAATTTTTAGTAAAAAAAAATACTAAATTCTTTATAGATAATATTTATTAATATCATAGACTTCTAAGTAACATTATATTTGATGGCAAATTTCAACTCATATCAAGCTTTTGGAGAACACTCTTTAATATATTATAGATTAATATCAAGTTATGTTAAGTTTTTCATCTTCCAATTAATAGACAAATGAAATATGTAAATCAACTATTGAAAGAGTATTTGTCATATTCCATCAATTACCATCAAAACAATTAAACAATTAACTTGCCATTAGCGGAGTTTTTTTTAATAATAATATAATACATTTGTCTACTCAATAATTCTATTTTTTTCCAATTTTGATTACCATCTATAATGTGATACTTTGGTGATAAGGTATGGTTACTTTGTTGCAATATTAAGACTAATCAACCTTATAACAAGTTCAAATATTGAAGGCTTGGTCTATTTATTATTAATAATTAAGTTAATTTAGTAACATATTAATTGCAATTACTACTACCAATAAAAATTTATCATATATTCCATGAGTTTTTTTTATTTAATCTTACACAAAAATTAGCATATCATGAAAAAAACAATCACTACGACTTCCTATTGAAATAGATAACAATTAAGATTTTAAAATAGAAGAAGTCTTAGATTCAAGGTGGCATTAACATAAATTAAAATGTCTCATATATTAATGTCAATATGATATTAGTGAATGCATATAAAAACCATATAATAATCTAGCAAATGCATCAAAACTTATCTTTATTTTTTATCAATAATATTGATCAAAACAAGGAACTAACACTAAAAACAAGATGGTATAAATCAAGGAAAAAAATATTTAAGAATCAATTTGTAGAACTCCTTTATAAACATTAAAAATGAATGGTTAGAAAATTTATTTCAAGAGTTTTTATTTGCAAAATTATCAGATAAAACACTTAGATTGTTTTAACTCAGTTGATGTTGCAATTGTAATAAAGATCATCAAGAAAAACATATTCTATTCTGAATAGATGAAAAGATACAATGTATTTATTACCATAATTTTTGAAGAGACTCTTAATGCATAGTAATATTGTTAGAAGGATCTACTACCCTTGATAGAATCTAAGATGGATTATTTGAAAGTAACTTTGAAGGCCTCAATAATTATAAAATAATTAGGAGGTTTTTTTTAGTTTTGAAATAAGATATTAATAATAGTTAAAATAACCTATCAATCACCTCTAGCAGTAAAGACATCAAAATTTGTTACTAATATTATTTGATGGATCTTATACTTTATTAATATATGAAGCAATGACATAGCTTTTTGTAAAAACTATTGCTTAGAAAAGGGAGTAATATAACAAATAGTCATATATACTAGCATATTTATTTGAATAAGTAGAACTAAATAGGAGTAAATAAATATGGATTTAATTCTTGATATTTTATTGAGAAGCTTCTCACAAGCTATGTAGACTTTATATGTATTTGCAAGTGATTGGTAGGTTGATAATTTGGCTAATAAGTTGGCCACATGTCACTTATTTAGTAATTTGTACTACAAGTTGGCCATGTAGTGCTTATATTGGAAACTTATCCTAAAAATTATACACATGTCTTGCAAATTAGACATGTATCATATAGCTTATATGACATTGTCATGTAATTCTTTAGTAGATAGTATATATAGAGGCAAGAGTGAGGCCTTCCTTAGTCTTGATAACACCTTTTGTGTATTCTATATTAGTTCATGATTTCTTAGTTATTTTGAATTTGGCAATAATTATTTTAGTTTCAATTCTATATCTATTTTTTACTTGTTTACTTTATCTCTTTGATGATAAAAGAATGTATTGTCATTTTTAGATTTTTTTATGATTATTTTCATTAACAAATCATACAAGTTTATACCTTTTAGCCAATTTTGTACCTAATTGGCTAATATTTTTATATTATTGTAACTTAATAATTTATTGTTGAATTTATTTGAATACAAACTTAATATATATGAACCATAAAATAAATTGAAATTATAATATTTTAAAAATATTTATATATAGTTTTATTAAAATAAAATATAAAAATAATCCAAATTATATAAAAATAATCCAAATTATATAAAAATATTATATCATATTTTTATTACTTAATTTTTAGAGTTATTAGTTTTATTTATTTTTAATTCTTTTGCATATTTGTATACAATTTAAATAACTTTGTACACATAATTGACCTAAAAATATAATCTTCAATAGAACTAATGGAAAATATTATTTTTTATCCTATTATTTTTTATTATTTTATTATTTCTTCTTCTTCTTCTTTTTCTTCTTCTTCTTCCTTTTTTTTTACATAATAATTTTTTTATGTTTAACATATTCTATTAATATAGCTTATATTACAATTTTAATATGTTATAAAGATTTGATAATGATGCATTTATACATATATATATATATATATATATATATATATATACTTTGAATGTTTTTCATAAAATTATAATTTATTTTTAAAATAAAAATATAATATTTTTAAAATCATAAGAACATATTTATATATATATATATATATTTATTTTGTAACATTTTTGCCTCTAATAATTTTTTAAAATTTTGAATCTAATTTTAAAAATTATCAATGAATGCAACAATAACATATTAAGTAAGCTTCAATATTTGAAAGTATTATATCTTAAAATAAAAAATAGAAAATATTTTATTTATATATTTATTCTTGACATGCATTACAAAATCTATTTTTTTGATTTGATTTTGTATAGATTCTTATGTCTATGTAAAAGCTAATTACAATAGTAATTTCTAAATACAATATCATTTTAGAAATATTGATAATCTGCTCACAATAACTCTTAAAGAAAATATCTAATATAATCACAACTTTGAAGCTTTTCCAGATTTTCAAAAGCTCTATCTATCTATCTATCTATCTATCTATGTATATATATATACACTCTACAATTTTTTCTACATCCATGCTAATATAAAATTAATGAAAAATAATAAGTGCCAATGAAAAATAATAAGTACCGAGGTTGAAAAATTTATAATTATTGTGAACAAAAATTTATTTAACGAGGTTGAAAAATTTATAATTATAATTATTGTGAACAATAATTTATAATTATTGTGAACAATAATTTATAATTATTGTGAACAAAAATTTATAATTATTGTGAACAATAATTTATAATTATTGTGAACAATAATTTATAATTATTGTGAACAAAAATTTATAATTATTGTGAACAATAATTTATAATTATTGTGAACAAAAATTTATAATTATTGTGAACAAAAATTTATAATTATTGTGAACAAAAATTTATTTAACTAAGATGAAGAAGGAAAAAATAAAAATAAAAAGAAAAAGAAAAAAGAAAAAAGAAAAAAATGAAATTCAAAGATTTTCCATCAGTTGAATAAATAAAAATACTGAACAGTGGGTCAATATATCATATCTAATTTTAAAATTTAAAATTAAACAGCACACAATAAAAATTTACAAAAAACGTCTCACCAAAGATAATAACAATAACAATAATTATATACATACATACATACATACATACATGCAGAACTTTCAAGTTTCAAAAATTTAAATTATAGATTATAATTTTCTGAATTCAGATTTCTAGAAAAATAAAAAAATGCCAATTTTGATAACAATAGGTCTAACTACCAAAGATATTCTGATAAGATGCTTAATTTTGCTTAAAACAAACTTTAAAATCCACATATTATTTTTTAATAGATTTACATGAATAAAACACGTAGCAAAAATTATTTAATTTATAAGAGAAAAGAACACATTTATTTTTATTCCAATTTATTTTCACAATTATGGGAATAAATTAACATCAATAGCAAGAGTGAAATTCTTTTGATGCAGTTGATGTTTAAATAAAAATAATTCATACTTTATATATATATATATATATATATATGTATGTATATATGTATATATGTATATATGTATGTATGAGGTATGTATGAGAGAATAATTACATGGAAGTGATTAATCAAATAATAGTTGGACTAATTTAAGAAAATAGGCATAATTATTTATCTTTTCAAAATATCAAGCATATTGTGTGAATGAGGCACCAATTCGTTAAATAAATTTTTGTTCACAATAATTATAAATTTTTCAAAAAAATACATTCAGAATTAACTGTACAATTTTTTTTCTCATAAAAAGTATGGCAGAATTTATAAAAGTAGTTAAATTACACGCACTAGGTCTTTTAGGCTTTCTACGTGGAAGCCATCAATGTGTCTTCCATAAAAATGTTGAGATAGGACCTTTGGCACAGGTGTGAACAGGTCCCCTGCCCAAGTTCAAACCGAGAAAGCTTGTCCAGTTTTTCCTTTTACGTTTTCAAATACTTTTCGCCTTCGTCTTTCAGTTTTCAACCCTTCTTCTTCTTTTTCTACTTCTTCTAGGTGCTGAAGTCTTCAGCATGGCCATGTTAGGGTTTAGGGTTTAAGGGAGACCCTGTGTCAATTGGTGTCGCCGTGTGCGCCAGTGGTCGAACTTTGGGGATTCAAACCACGCATTTGATTGCTGCTTGCTTGATTGATTGTATTGGATTGCAAGAAGTGGCAGCCATGGTGGCGAATAAGCAGCTGGCGGTCACGAAGAAGCTGGGGAAAGAGTTGCTCCTGTCGCGTGCGCATGTTAACAATGCGCCGCTGCTGCTTGCTACTCTGACGTCGTCGCTGCAGGATTCAACCACAGCTAATGCTGCGGTTCTGAAAGAGGCGCTTCTTTCTTTGCAAGCCTTTTTCGTTCCCCTGGTGAAGTCGGGAGATTTCTCCCCTGCGGCCCAGAAGAGGGCGAGTGAGGAGTTGCAGAGGGTTTCGGGAACGTCAGAGGCGGATGGAGGGAATCAGGCTGAGATGGCCAAGGCGGATGCTATTTATAAGAAGTGGATTTGGGATCGGTACCGGGAGTTTGTTACTACTTTGCTTCGCTTCGTGGCTCGTCATAATGCAATACCAGAGGTCCAGGTACACATTTTTAGCAATGAGCAGGAGCCAATTTCATCCTGGGCTAGAAATTAGGTTGGTTAGGTGGTTAACGGGCCTTCTAATGTGCAGAGGAGTCCTGGGTCAATCGTGAGGATCTCGCCCAGAATGCGTTGATGGTCTATTTTTCTGAATTTGCAGCTTAGCGAATTGATCTCTACACAGCGTTCTATGGTACTAAGGTTTTGTTTTCTCTAATTGGCAGATAGCCGCTTTGCACACTATAATGGAGCTAGTACGAGTTGAAGTGTATGGAGAATTCAACAATCATCTGTATTTGAGGCTGTGCTCTACATTCGTGAGTGCCCTTCATTCTTTGCGTTTGCATTAGTTGACGAGAGATGTAATCAGATTGCATTTATGACATTCTTGGTTATCTTCCTCACGTGCTTAGTTGTAGTGAAGTCAGAATGATGTTAGCGTACTCAATGTAGTTTTGGAGCTGTATGTGAAGTTAGTTTCCGGGTCTTTATCGGAAATTTTCATGTCCGAGAGTAATTGAGGTTTTGGACAATAACTATATTGCGATATTGCTTTTTCTACGCATGTAGAAGGTAGAAACCATGATCTCAAGTCTCACTAAGAGGTATTTTCGTTTGAACTTGGGCCTGAATCAATGCTTTTCAGGTATTTTCGAAAGCTTTCAACAGTGGGCTTCTTTCGGTTTTCGTATCAGATTATTTCAAGTACATAGATGTCTGGTAAGCATTGAAGACGTTATGTCCGAAATTTCATTCTACGGTTTGTTAGTAAGACCATTAATTACATGGCATTTCTTGGTTTCCTGCTTGAATAACATCCTCAGTCCACGTATAAGTTCATTCGTTATGGGATATTTTTGATGCGATGCTCTCTTCTTTCTTTCAGTTGGTCACTGTATTAGCCCCTGCACTAGGGTTATTATTTTGAAACTTCTCAATGGTGCTTAATTTTTGCAGTTACTACACATATTCTAACATGGACAAGATTACTGTGAAAAGGCTTTCCCAAAAAGGTACCCGTGAACGTCTCCTCTAACCCGACCACCAATTTTTAACATCTATTCGGGGTGCAAATATCACCATTCTCGCTATCAGCGAGCAGATTTCTGAATTGCTCGGCGTTTTTTTCCTATTCAATGACGTTCAGCTGTTTTCATACGTGCAGGGTCTGAAGCAATCTCTAGTGATGATGAAGACGACAACCTTCGTAATTTCACTAGGTAGTGCTCGATATTTTACGTTCTATTGTGATGGTCATACATTTTTGGTCGATTTTGAAGAAATGCAGGTTCGCCAACATTGTTCAGATATTTGAAGTCTATGGTGCTCATACATATGGAGGGTATGGAAACAGAAGAAGTCTCCTAGACCGATCTCTTTGGATGTCCCGATTTTTAATACCACCTGTATTGGACTTGTTTCAGCGTGCATAGTATGGCGAGTAATGTTTACGACATTTTAATCAACTTACCAACATTTTCTCAGGAGGATTGTACTGAAGTCTGGAGTTTTTCTGCAGGTGGATATTCGTGAACTGATTGCCATTTACTTCTATCTAAAATTTGGTCGAATTCATAGAATGTATGTTTCTTAAAGGTGATTTGAGTGTTTATCTGAGGAATTATGATTAATATCCTTAAGGATATTTTGTCTGGTCTTGATCAAATTTTCTCTTGTAGGTTCTGAAGATGGTGGCACCATTTCTGGGAAGAAAGTGTCTGGTGAAGTTTCTCAGGTGGGATTTTTGCACTTCACTGTTTATTAGGAAAATGAAAGTGATCTTGTGCAGATTTAATTTTCAGTTGTCAATAGCAGCTGGATGGTTTTCTGCCGCACAGTGTCTAATTGTCGTTAGATGTTGAGCAGCACTATACGAATCAGAAGAAGCAACGCACGCGAGTGAGTAAAGCTTGGCTTGCTTTCTTGAAGCTTCCATTTCCATATGAAATCTACAAGAAGGTGAGAACTTTTTCCTTGACTAGTGTGCATCTGTGTTTTTTCTCGGTCTGTTTCTGCTAATCTTGTCAGACTCTGTCAAGCAGTCGATACTCTGGCGGCATCGAGTAATTTTTTCCCTTAATTAATTCTCTTCTCTTTGATTAATTCGGTATTCTGTATTAAGCGGATAGTTCGTTCAACAATTTTTATAATATATTGTTATAATGGTCTTCAGATTATTTTTTAAAATTTGTGAATTTTGTGAATTTTGTAATTTTTAATATTCTTTGCATACGGAATATGCGGGGATTGTTTGTGTTTTGACAACCCATGACGTTCCTTTGCAGGTTTTAGCTCAGCTGCACAAACGCGTCATTCCCTTCCTTTCGAATCCAGTCCTTCTTAGGTAATTTGGAGGTTTGGTGTGTTCGTCTTTGGAGCCTTTATCTTAGGAGCTCATCACTTTACAGTTCTCTTTGACAAAGAACTGCGTGTGCCGTTAATAATGTTTTTAGGTGGTGTCAAGTTTAAGCCTTGGATTGACTTAGAATAACTGCTTGTGATGTATTATCAATTGTAGGACTTTTGTAAGTTCCTTTATGCTCTGTTGTGGCTACTGTACATTCTAATTTTTATCTGATTTGTTATCTGCAGTGACTTTTTGACAAACTCATACAATGTAGGGGGTCTCATCAGTGTAATGGCTCTCAATGGCCTCTTCATTCTCATGACAAGTCATGGCTTAGAGTACCCTGATTTTTACAATAAACTCTATGCTCTGCTCGAGCCATCTATATTCGTTGCCAAGCATCGAGCACGTTTTTTTGAGGTTTGGTTCCAGTCATATTTCTTCAGTATAGTAAATATGCATCGGCCGAATATATCAGGTTTATTTTTTCATGTTTTCATTTATTCAAATAACTATGTGAATCTCACTTCGTAGTTGAAAACGTGGAGAATGTGGATAACTTGTGTATGTGTAGTATGTAATGATGCTTTGCTGATGTCTTGCAGTTGACAGATACTTGTTTGAAATCAACTCACATTCCGGCTTATTTGGCAGCTGCATTTGCCAAAAAGCTTGGTCGATTGGCATTGTCTGCTCCACCATCCGGTGCTCTCGTAGTAATAGCTATGATTCACAACCTTTTGCGTCGACATCCCTCCATAAATCAGCTTGTTCATCGGGTGAGTTGCTCCAAACGGATGATTAGAACGAGGTTTACTTCATAGTATTCTCTTACCGAGGCGTCTTCGCAATTAGTTACTGGCTTTGATTTTTGAAGTCTTGTTTTTGGGGTCACTTCTATTTAATCATGGCAAGTTCTAAAGATGTGAAAACGTTGGCAATCACAGATGGCTGGAAGAGTTATACTTTCAGTCTATCCATAGATTTTTAGTGATTTTTTCTCGATTCATCTGTTGAGAATCTGGTTGGGTAGGTTTGTTTGGATACGATATTTGTTTAAGATGGTGTGTTTTTGACAGGCTTCTAGTGCCTCTACCTCTTCAGATATAGAGGCATTGCGTGGTGCTGATCCGTTTTTGCCTTTTGAAGCAGACACTGCAAAGTCCAATGCCCTGGGTAAGAGCAAATTCCTCACTGCTATCATAGGTTTGTGTTACGGAAGCCATAATCTTTACGGCCATTATTTTTTTTTGCTTTTAGAGTTCGTTAGTATATATTTGATATGTTAGTTTCTCATTTGCAGAGAGTTCCCTGTGGGAGATAGAGACATTGAGGAGCCATTATTGTCCAGCGGTTTCCAGGTGAATTGCTGTTCCATCCTTTTCCGGTGAAGAGTTTGTTCACGTTTCCGAGAGCCCTTTGAGTATTTGCATATCTCGGGTCAGTAGCTGCCACAGTATCTGGTAGACATGTACTTCTGAAAACATGTGAGGTAACTGGAGTTTGTTGATTTTTTGGAGATAGATAGGGATGTGATATGAGTGTACTTTAATAGACATTGGGAATTGCATGATATGTGCCGAAAATTCCTGAAGCCATATGTACGTGAGGTATTGCAGGTTTGTGGCATCATTAGAAACAGATTTGACTGTAAGAGCTAAGACTACAGAAGTTAGCATTTCAGACTTCAGCTCAGGATCTTACACAACAATCTTTACAGAAGAAGTAAGACCCAAGTTTTTCTTATTTTCATCTTTTTTTGCCAGAGCCGTAGCCGTGTTGTACCTGCTGTCACCCTCTGTTGTTAAGTAGATAATCATATTGCAGTGACCCTTATGTAAATATTGACCATATCAACCATCCATTTTTATCATTTCAGGTGTCAAAAAGACTCAAGGCTGTGCCATTGGCGTTTTATCAAACTGTTCCGACCTCTCTTTTCTCTGAGATGACCGAGGACTTTGTCGGTTGGAAGTTCAGTCATACCCCCATTACATTACAGAAGTCTGAGGAGGATCATAACAAAGCCTCACCTGATGGGCTTGAGAACAAAGTAGGTGACGCAGCTGCTCGTGAAAGTGGCATTGACGGCGTGCCTAAAGAACAGAACATTGTGTCCAAAAGGAAGAGACCTATTGAGGAAGAGCAGCCTAATGGAAGTGAACTGAATGGGGTTGCTGAAGGCAGAGGAAAATCGAAGATTGTATCCGAGGAGAAAGTCAAGTCTTCTACCAAGAAAAAAAAGTAGTACTCAAGTAACGAACAAAATTCTTTTCATTACGAAACTATTCAAATTTCTAATGCAATTTACTGTCTGAAATGAGAACTGTATTTTATCGAGAACAGTTATTTGGGAACTGGGGTGAGGAGTAGGAGATGTTGAAGATGACGTGCTTGTAAGGAAAAAAACGATTAGAGGAATGATATTTCAGTCAAATCGTCGACGGGGACACGGGAAGCAACTAGTGTTTTTGTTATATGTGATCTAATTGAGATGAACTGTACAAGCATCTAATTTCGGACTAACTTGTGTATTTGCTTACTAACTGCACGATAAATATGTCTTGTATACTAATATAATCTTTCATTATGTCGGATATGTTAAAAGGATTGTCATTGTCGGTAACTGAAAGTGCTCCAGTCACCTAGAAAACTGGCCTCATGATTTGCTCAGTGCATTTCTTAAAGGAAGTTGCACAAATTAAAAGACTTCAATTGCACATTAGTTTTTACTGATGTCATTTTAAAGTCAATCCTAATTGAATGTTGACCAATTGAATCACTACAATATTTTTATAATTCTGATATCCATAGATATCCATGTTTTTATAATTTTTACATAAATTTTATATTACAATTCATAAAGGCTATTATCCAATAGTAACATTATATTTTATAACCTTTTTAAATTTAAAATTAATTTTTTTATAATCAAGTAGTATCACATTATTCTGATGCAATTTAAAGATATTATGTCTAAATCTTAATCAAATCTGTATCTTAATTCATTTTTGAAAACTATTTGAAAATTGAAACTAAAAGGTGTATAACATGTGTATAATTCTTTCATTTACTTAGTTGTAGAAAATTTAATCTAAAACAAATATATTCCACATATTTTTCAAAAACAAATCGTCTGAACTTGTTGCAGCAAAGATTGGTTTGATGTTGGCAGTAGGATGGATTGAAGCGTGAGTGCAAGTATTTCTATAGAAGCATTCTATAGACCAAAGTAATTTATAGTTTGTGAGAATAACAATTCAATTGTGGAGGTTGGAATAAATAATAGCTACAAAGGAGCACATGTGTCAGTAAGGGTTTGTATGTATGCTTGATTTGCAGGTTTACATCCTTTAAAGAGTTCTGGAGTAGTTTCTTCACTTGGCTTGCACTTTGGACAAGGTTTATTTATTTATTTATTTATTTTTTATTTTACAGTGAGTTATGTGTTATTATTTGCCACCCATAAGAATTTGATTGAATTTTGCTTGTTTTTTCTTTGTTTCTTTTGGATTAGCCATGTTGCAGGTTGTATAAATAAGTGTCATTCATATTGTGGTACATTGTTTTCTATGCTTATGCACAATTCTATGTTTGAATAAACATTGTTGTATTATAATTGTTTATAGTATGTAAAAATTAACTAAAATAGATAATATATTTATAAATTTTGATGTATTTTAGAGTGGTTAGTAGGTTAATTTAAAGAGAGTTGATATAAAAAAAATTATTTGAAGTTTATATTTGTTGATTATAGTGTTTAAAATATATAGGATTTAGATATTTAGTATAAAACTTAAGGAGAAGATTGGAGCTCAAAGATGAAGATCCAAACCTCTAGGAAGCTTATTTAGAGGGATGAAAATAATGTATGGATGGATGAAAGCTAAAAGTAAAAAACTTCATCTCTATTGGTCGAAGGCCATGCCCAATAGGTATTTTGTAGGCTATCCGCAACCATAACAAGGGTTTCGGCAACTTCAGAAGGGACATTTTAGAATCAAAAGCAAGGGTTGTAAGGTTTAGGGCTTGGACTACAATTTGTGTGCAAATTTGAAGTGAAGGTGTCTTTTTAAGACATACTATTGCTCTTTTGTGTATATAAGGAGTTTTGTGATAGATTTTGGAGTTCGGGAGTTGTGGCCGCAAGGGTGATTTCAAGATCTACATCTTTTGCAAAGGAATTTTTGTATTTGAAGTTTCTATAAAGAAATTATAGAGTGTTGAAGACATCACATGTAATTCAAAGGCAATAAGTGAGTCATTTTGTTGATAGTAATGGTTGGACCCTTATCTTGAATTTTTGGGTGAATTTTTGGCTCAAAATTTCTAAAAATATATGTTATTAGATTAAAAAGCTATATATCAAAGTTTTATGGTATTTGAGTACTTAATTTGTGAAATATGAAGAAAATTGCACATGAGTATATATAAGCAAGGATTTGAAGTTATTGTAAAGTTTTGGTGATATCTCAAGATTTGTAATAAATTTGTAGTTGAAATTTGTTGTGGCAATTGTTGAAAGTACGTCAATACTTCATGTAAAATTTTGGTTTATTTGGATAATTCAATCATAAGATCTGAGCTATTGAAGTTTGGAAAGAATTCACCTTAAAGATATACAAGGTTTTATAATATTTTTATCACATTTTTGATTACCTTTGGTACTTATGGCTTATGTATTGATGTAATTTCTCATATAGGAACAATTTTATATATAGACTTGGTGTTTTTTTTTTTTTTTTTTTTTTTTATCTAGAGGCTTAGTAGAGCAATTAGTGATAGTGAGAAGTCCATCGCTTTTTTAAGTCAAATTCTCTCTACGACAACAATGCTTTGGCAATTATTCATGACATGCTCATGTCTATGACAGGATGTGGTAGATTGTACGATTCCAAAAGTAGTGTGATTTACACAAGTTTGCTTGTGTTGATGAATGATGATTTGATATAGGTTTTATTTAATCATCAAGCATGAGAATGTAAAAGATATGGAACATTGCACAAAGTTCTAAGCCTTTGAGTTGTTTTGTGTGTTATTTCATGGAGACATAAGGATTAGAATTTGGGTATCAAGGTGTTTGGTCTTCAAATAATAGTAATGTTATAACATTCTTTTGTACAAAAATATGGAGGATAATATGAAATTAATTGATCAATTTTGCACATGTTTATTTTGGTGATTCAAAAAACAATGTGGATGCATGTTTGCACCAATGTGTAAAATTATGATATGATGTGTCTAATACTAAAAATAATGATTATATAGTATTATTAATGTGTAAATTTATGTGTAAATTTATGTATCTTTTTACTACATATGATATCTATATTTAAGATATTGTTGGTATAGTTGAAATGCAAGATGTCCATAGAGATATTTGGTAACTATTTCAAGATTGTGTTAGAAAAATGAGTGTTTTATTGAAAACTAAAGACATGCTTAATAAAAATCATTGTCCAAAATTAATAGAAAAATCTTGATTATTTATTAAAGTATTTAAATAATTGATGCAATATTATAATAATAATTTTGAGTATATAATTATATTTAGTAAATTACTTCTTATAATTACTAAAATTTATTTGCTACTAAAAGATTATAATAAATAATATAATTATATTATATAATATTAATTAGAAAATAAATTTTAATTAAAAAAATTAAAAAAATATTCTTAAATTTGAGATTTTATGTTAATAATAGAAGTAATTTACTTTTAAATTTTTGTTGAAAAGACTTCAAAAGCAATATACTAGTTATTCTTGAAGTTCCACCTTTTGATGAAGTTGAAGGTGTAAGAAAGATGTATGGAAGATTAAGCTTTACAATAAGAGATAAATATTTTTAAAATTACAAATTAGCAATCTTTCTTTTATAAGGATTAAAAGACTTGCATTGTATGGAAGGTAGAAAATTGGATGCATTTGAAATTTCAATTAATATAGAAAAATTTAAAATTATGGAACTTATAAATAAAGGTGCTTTTGAAAAAATTCACAAATTGAAGTAATATGGATTTTTGAATGCAATCTAAATCATGCATGTTACTTTTAATGATGCATTTAAAATTAAAATATATATATTTTAATTGGTAAAACTATAATTATTTTATGTTAATGATGTTTCATGAGTTTAAAAATTTGTATAGAATAGAAGAAGCTTTGGTGATGAAAGGATATAAAATTAATAAAAATTTAATAAAAAAGAATATAAGAAGAATAAATTAAAAAAATATATATAGTATAGAATACCAATTTTAATTTCATATCAATATGGATTTACAATTTGGCATTTAAAATGATAAATTGTATAATATTTATAGCTATAAATATTTGTATAAGAAGATAATTTTAGTTTGATAGTATAATATCAATAGGTGTTTGATCTTATTTATATGATTTATATTTAAATTTATAAGATTAAAATATTTATTCATAAAAATTTGAAGCATTTGAAACTATGAGTTTTAATATATTAAAAAATAAATTATAAATATCATTGATTAAATATATATCTTGATATATTTAAAAATTTAACTTTTTGACTTATATAAAATATGCATTGATATATATATATATATATATATATATATATATATATATATATATATATATATATATATATATATACTTATCTTGATTCTATTGTTTTTGAATATTTAGATGTCTTAATTAAAAAATTAAAAGATTGGACTTGAATGTCTATAATGCATCTATTATGAGTGATATTGCTACATTTAATGAAATTAAAAGAGATAATACAAGAATTTCTTAAAGATTGATTTTTAGAATCTAAGATATTAGTTTTGAAAAATATGGATTAGCTAAATATCTATTATAGAGATGGAACAACTTGCATCACATTGAAGATAGAAAGTTGGATATTTTAGAACTTTTAAATGACATTAAAAGCTTATAAATTGATGATTACATAGAAAAAAGTGCTAATAGAGTTGTTTACAAATCAAAGTTGTTTGGAATCTTAAGTGCCACAAAGATAATACTTGCTACCTTTGAAGAATATGTTCTTATTGAAGTAGGCATCTTAGTAGGTTTAAGCCATTTTAATCTTGTTCAATATATATATATATATATATATATTTTAATAAAAGTGAATATAAAAGAATTTGATGAGATTTTTCTTATAGAATATAAAAATAATATTTTATATTTAATAATATAATTAAAAAACATGAGTTTATCAAATATATTGAAGAAAAAAAATCAATGATATAGGATTTGCTCATTCATGTTATGTATCAAATTACTAAGTATATGTATTATTTTCATGACATAAAAATTATACATTAGAATCTTAAGCCAGATAATATATTTATTAATTTTAAAAAAGAAGAAATCAGCAACTATAGTTTATAATATAATGTTTTTAAGATAAGTCATTTACGCACTTCTAAGATTAATGTTAGAAGTATTCCAAAAAATAAATTTAATCATTTTATAAATAATAGATATGTAGGTCTTAGAGTATTAAATAATAAAAAAATAAATTTAAAATATGTGCTT